TGCTCTATTAATGAAAAGTTATAGACGTTTTAATGGAATTGTTCCCGAGAGCAAAACATTATTAAAAAAGCGAAAACAAAGAGTTTCGACCTGAACTTTAGTCTATAGGTATGTTTGATAGTCATGAAATAATTCTGAAAGTTTCAACGAAAATGAACATGCCTTTCTTGAGATATTTAATATCTAAAAGAAGTAACGGTTTACCATAGAAGAACACTAAACTGAGTCTACTTCGAAATCAGATATCTCGAAAAAAGACATTAGAACTTTCAGGACTATCTAATGACTATTAGACATGCCCATTGATAACATTTTCAAGTCGAAACTCATTGTTTTCAGTAATGTTTCTTGCCCTCGGGAACAATTTCGTTAAAAAGTCTATAACTCTTCATCAACAAGCTATTGAATCCAAATCCTTTTAAGCTTGTATTACTGTCACTGAGACCTACTCGTCATCAAAACATGAAGCTGAATGACGTCCGACGGTTGAATATGTTCCCTCGTTAGTTTTACATTAAGACTTTTCACACCCGTGCCACCCCTAAATTTTTTTCTCATTATTTTGAGTTAAACTTATCTAATGATGAAGAAATTAAGACATCTCAATATGGGAAACAGTTCATAGAACTAGATTACCAATGAAAACATTAGGCAATTGAAATCTATGGCTCCTTTCGAAGTGATATCACTTCGTCATTTCATATAGTTAATCTATAAAAGTGATATATGTAGATCTAGTTTTCCATATTCTATTCAAATATATCTTTGATAGTGGAAAGTCTTTTTTGTTTCAGATCATCTTTTCATAATTCTGGCATGCTGTGCATTGTTCTATATGTCTAACTAACACAATGGGTATTTTCATTAAATAGAGAACATTCATTCACTTATATTAAATACTTTTTCACAGACTTCGAGTACTGTATTGCAGTGGAAACTACTTAAAAAACAAACAACAAAGATCGTCTTTTTTTTGCCTACAGTCAAAATATTGCATATTTGTTAAAATAGTTTAAACAAAAAACGAAGAAATATTCGTAATCACTACCATCAACTCTATATTGTAGTATTTTGTTTAACTCAAACATAATTGATTTATTATCATGATGAATATATATTTTTTTTTTCGAGAAAATTTTCTCGAACATCTTTTATTGAAGTTCAAAAGAACTGAAAAATAATTTTATTGTATTTTCTTATTGAAATAATTTGAAATGAATAAACTTACATATATCTTCCTTGATTTGTTAATAGATGAATTTTTTCATTTCCTAACCAAAATTCTGTTTGTAAATCACCAAAACCATTTTTATAATCATTCCATCCACGATAAAAATCAATTGTACCATTTATTCTTCGTTGAATAACTGTCCATCCTATTCAATAGCAAGACAAAACAAAAAAAACAAGATCGATTTTCATACACTTTTCCTCTCATATATATATATATAGTTTAATCTCACCTATATTATTTTCAAATATACATTTAACATCAAATGATTCAGATGCAAAACGTGGTTTTATACGAAAAATTCCTTCATGAACAAGTGATGGTTGTTGACTATATACATCATCACAATCTAAACAAAGAACATTTAACTTTTGAAGAATAGTTCATCATAAGTAGTGCAAAAATTGCGATAGACTCAAAATTCCAAAACACATTCTTCTAGGCAATATCAAAGTCACAAATGCAAAAAATTGGCGTTTGATATAGGACTAATAATTATTTTACAGATACTACAGGATGTGTAAAAATGTTTTTCCAAGGGGTAACATTTATATTAAATCAAAGCGCGTCGAAATTAGATCATATCAATACTAAATACAGTGGTGGCCAAAATTATAAGACCACTTTATTTTTAATTTTTTT